TCTCACATTTTTGGCATAAAGAAATAGAATTATAAACAGTACATACCATCCATTCAAAAAAACTCAATAAGCATATACTTATCAGGTGTTATCTTTATAATCCTCTAAGAGTTCTATTATGTTGCAATTATTACTTATGTTTAAATCATGGTGACAGACTGAACATCTGATTTTTCTAGTCATGTAATTAAACTTACACCTCAGTACTACCATTTAGCTTACTTCCTATTTTATGATCTGAAAATTAATCTCATTAAGGTAAAAAATTCAAATACAACTATTGTGGGTTTTATAACATCATTCAACCTTTTTTCTGACTTACTAAAAGGAATGCTTACCAATGTTAGTTTCTTGATTATTCTTTCTGAACTTGGGTGTGGCTAGCCTATACTACTAGCAGCATTACAGAACAATAAAGTTGACCCTTGAAAATAAATGCACATGTCAAATATGAGAAAGTGTTTTTCCTTCACATGTTTTAAGAGTTACATTTGTTCCTTGAATGTGTAAATAATTAATATATTAGTAGGATTTGAGATTATCTACCCAACCTTCAATAGAACAAAAGCCCAAATGTCCATCATCAGATGAGTGGATATGAAAAATGTGTTATATCTACACAATGGAATACTACTCAGCTATAAAAAAGAATGAAGTACTGCCATTTGCAACGACATGGATAGACCTAGAGAGAATTATATTAAGTGAAACAAGTCAAGCACATGCAACGACATGGATGGACCTAGAGAGAATTATATTAAGTGAAACAAGTCAAGCACAGAAATGTCACATGTTCTCACTTATGGGTGGGAGCTAAAAATAAATAAATAAATACACACACACACACACACACACACACAAAACTGGGGGGGGAGAAGACATAACAATTACAATTCCTTGAAGTTGATAAAACAAGCATACTGAAAGGACATTGTTGGGGGGAGGGGGGAGAGGGAGGAGGGAGGGAGGTTTCTGTGATGGGCCACAATAATCAACCACATTGTATATCGACAAAATAAAATAAAATAAATTTTAAAAAAAGAACAAAAGCTAAGAATAAATTAATAAACATTTGAAAATATTTTCCACAATTATATTCCATCTCATTTACTCGTGATATTTAAGGTCAGCCATACTTTTTAACACTCATTTAAAGAAACCTAAACCAACTGTCTATAATGATTTTATGTTTTATTGTACAGTAGTTTTCCTCCTACTGGGTCATCTGTTAATACCTCTCCAACAAATCAGAGTCCTCTTATAGAGGACTGTTGTGAATACTGGCATGTGAAATTTTCTAAAAGGTTCCCAGCTGGATAGTTCTTTTCGACGTCAGAATAATTCTATTTTTCTAATCTCTTGGGCCAAATGCAGTTGTTGTTTAACAAGTCAATGCACGCTGAGGACATATTTATCCATTACAGTACTTAACCAATTGTATTGTAATTGCCAATTCGCTTGTCTATAAACTATAAACTATAATCTCTGTGAGGTTAGGAACAGTGTCCATCTAGGTCGTCTTTGTATCCTCAACCTGACATACAGTAAAAAGCCAATAAAAAAATGCGGAATCAATGAAAGTCCTAGCACCATGGAGAGTGGTTATACAGAATCCACAGCAATGCTATTTACCTGTGAGATCCAGAGTTCTATCCACAAAGACCACTGATGCCCTGCCTGGGGCAGTCTTCCTCCTGTTCTTGGCAGGGGCATAATTGGCCAGATCTGCAGCGATGACCCGACTGAGGAAACCCACGGCAAAACACTCCTCCCGTACACCCAAATGTTCACACAGAGAACTGAGGCCTGACACCAGGCACCTGATCTGCAGCAGCAGTTCTGGGGTTAGAGTGGTGGCATCCACCTCACCCAGGCTCCCCAGCCTCCTCTTTTCCGGTCGGGCACTATTAAGGAGATGCACATCCTGAGGTAGGAGAGGGAAAAGGGAAGCAAAGGCTGGAGTCAAGGCAAGGTGGGGAGCAGCAGGGGCGAGCAACAACGGGACGTGCAGCACCTCGGCAGTGTAGTTCATGTTGCCCATCCACTCACACAGCTTCTCCTCCAGCTGCTCAAATACCGGCTGCTGCCCCTCCAGCTCGGCCGCTGCCGCCGCTGGCACATGATTAGCCGTAAGGTGGACAGCGTGGCTCACGGCCGTAACCACCACACAATACTGAAAGTGACTGCGGCAGATGATATCCCGTAAAGTTTCCACAGTCCGGCCTTTTAGGACGCAACTCAGCACAAACACCGCCTTGGGCTGCTCGGCTCCACCACCAACTGCGTTGGGCTCGAACTCTCGCAGGTGACACACAGGACCCCCCACCGCTTCCATGAGCCGCGTAGATCCGCAGCCCCAGTGCAGGCTCTCCGCGCAGGCGGCGTCCAGGTAGACCAAAGCCCGTTTCACTTTGACCAGCACTTGCTCCCAGCCTTGCTGGGTAAAGGACAGCACGCCCGAGGTGCTCATGGTTTGGAATTCGCAGACTCGGGGTACTCGGGTGCAGGAACTTCTCTCAGAAGTCACCACTTCCGGAAATTAGGTTTCCCTGAGACTTTGACAGTCAACACGGTACACGTGGTCCTGCCTCTGACGCGCCCGGTGACGGCGCGCGGTGATGACGTAGGGCTGAACGGTGATTGGCTAGTGAGGAGGCCCGGGCTAGAGGAAGGATGGGCGGGGCTGGGAAGGAAAAGTGGGCAGGGCTCCGTGGCTCTGAGCTTCCTCGGAAGTTGAAAAGTTCGAGGAGGTGAGAAGGGGCTCTCTAGGAACAAGTTGAACTGCGTTCTTTTCGTCCCTCTCTGGCAGGGCTCCGTGGCTCTGAGCTTCCTCGGAAGTTGAAAAGTTCGAGGAGGTGAGAAGGGGATCTCTAGGAACAAGTTGAACTGCGTTCTTTTCGTCCCTCTCCCTGTGTGTTCGGATTACTTCGCCCTGCTCCCTGAGAAATCTCAGGAATAAAACCTAATCCGAAATGCGATGTCTTCCTTGGATATGAACACATCTCTCAAAAAGTACAGCCACTTCTCTCATGTAAACTGAGAGCAGCCAGAGAAGATATAAAAACAACAAACTTGTGTAATATTTTGTAGTTTACATATTGCTGTCACATACGTTATTGCACACAAGCCTCATAACAAACCTGCTGGTGGTGTTTCCACTTTCTCCATCTTTCTTCCCTCATTTCATAGTCACTAAATCTTGTTCTGTTTCAAAACTCTTAGAATTTAACACTTCCTCTCCATCCTTACTGTCACACCAGCCCACCATTATCATTCGCCTGGACAATTGCAATAATGCCTCATCATTTCGTGGCTTTTAATCTCTTCCCCTCTCCAATTCAGTTTTCTTCCTAATAAACTAAGGTGGTCCTACCATTTTTCAGCTTCTCCTGATCCAATTGCCTACAGGATACATCTAGGCTCCTTGAAAGGCACTAAAATTTACCTTATGATTTTTCAGTTTCTCTGCAGCTGCTCTCAGCCTGGCACATTATGTACCTGCACAATGAAGACAACAGACTGAGCCCAGAATGTTTCATGGGTCAAGTTTTTTCAACCAATATTTATTAAGCACCTTACTGAGTATAATCACTTTACTAAGCTCCAAAGATGCAATGGCTAATAAAATATTTTAATCCACAGAGAATTTGCACCTGGTAAACTCTAACTCACTGAAAATAATCATTCCAATGATACCTTGCACGTGAGGCATTTCCTAACTCATCACCACCACCAATTTGTCCTCTCTTCCTCAAACACACAGCACTCAATTCATAAATCTGCTAAGTACTTGTTACATCATGGGATGTTTTAGCACACCTATCTTCCTTAACCTACCTATTTTACTAGATAGCGCACTGGAGGCCTGGTATCTCCAATACCAACAGATGTTCAATAGATGTTTGTTGGATAAATGTTCAATTAATATCCACACGATAAATAATATATTCAACCAATTTTTAATAAACATGCACAATGTTCCAGACACTGTTTGGGGCATCAAGGATATGAAGAGAAATAAGCCACAGCCCTGACTTGAAAAAAATTATAATAACTATAAAAAGGAATGAAATACTACCATTCACAGCAACATGGATGGACTTAGAGAAATTATACTAAGTGAAATAAGCCAGGCACAGAAAGAGAAATACTACATGTTCTTACTTATTTGTGGGAGCTAAAAATAAATAAATAAATAAACAAACAAACAAACAAATAAACGGGGGTGGGGAAGAAGACACAATGATCACAACAATTCCTTGAACTTATTAAGACAAGGGAAGAGATATGATGTTGATGGGGTGAGTGGGAATAGGAGGGGGGAAAGAGGAATTGGTAAAGGGACATGAAAATCAACTACATTGTATATTAACAACTTAATTTTTTAAAAAAGGTTATTGGATGAGAACAAATACCTTTAATGAAAGTTACCATATCAATTTTTTGTTTGTTAACACATTCAAAGTGAAATAGAGATATGACTGTTTCATACTTTAAAAAGTATTTTTAAAAAGTAGACATGGGTTCTATAATAGCCAAACCTGTATGAGAACTAGAAAAAATAATAATAAAAATGCTTATTAGTATCATCAAAAAAAAAAAGAATTATAATGAAATAAAATGGTCCACGCATGTAAAACAATGAAGTGCAGTGAAATGTTACAGAAGAAATGTTTTGTTTGGTTTTTTGCGGCTGGCTGATATGGAGATCTGAACCCAGGACCTTGTTATTATGAAGCTGCGCTCTAAACTGAGCTAACCAGCCAGACCAACAATGTGTGTTTTTTTTTTTAAGGACCTTGTTATTATGAAGCTGCGCTCTAAACTGAGCTAACCAGCCAGACCAACAATGTGTTTTTTTTTTTTTTTTTAATGTGTAGGATTTTCAAGAAAGGAAAAATGAATTCTGACTGAGTGAAGGAAAAAGGGAAGTGGCCAGAAGAAGTTTCATAGAAGACTCAAGTTTTGAGTTGCCTTTAAAGAAAACCAGGTGTTCACCAGGTGGACAGTATGGAAGAAGCATTTTTAGCAGTCTGGGCAGAGAGTGCAGCCCGAACAAATATGTAGAGGCATGAAACAGTACAACATGTTCTCTGGAACTACAGATGGTTTACTATAGCTGACGTGTACTGTGTGAAGAAAGGCCCAAGAAGAAATAGGAACAAGGAACTCTAAAAGAAAGGAATGATCAGGGAGAGTCTTATTTTCTGTTCTAAATAGTAGCAACCAATGGGGAACTATTAAAGTATTTTAGTAGTTGGAAATAGTTTGTTCACATCCAGGTTTTAGGGGAAAAAAGATTCTAGTAGAGACATCAGAAATAACTTGAAATAGAGCAAGATTTAGGGCAGAGAGAGCAGTTAGGAAATCATACCCAGAACAACTCTGGGTGAGAGTTGATATCAATTAAGGAGACAAACGGAGTCGGGTATATAAAGAGATGTTAAGTGCAAAAGACCTTGGTGATTAGTCTGGCAGACAGAGTGAGACAGAAAGACAATTTCAGGTTAATGCCCAGCTTTTTGTCTGGATGACTAGTGAAAGGCAGTCCCCGAGATTTGGAAAACCAGAAGAGAAGCAGACTGGAGAGTAAACATACTGAGTTCAGATGGGATATATTTTGTTTGTTTAATTGTGGCAAAATACATGTAACATAAAATTTACTATCTTAATCACTTACCCTTATCAGCCAGCATTTTCAGGTCAATGTGTGTCCTTCCTGACCTTTTCCCATGTATTTGACATATATACCTACTCTATTAGTCTGGTAGGGTTGCAACCAAATACCAGACTGGGTGGCTTAAACACCCAGAAATTTATTTCTCACAGTTCTGGAGTCTGGAATTCCAAGATCAAGGTGTTAGCAGGTTTGGTTTCTCCTGAAGAGACTCTTAAGAAATTGGCTGGGGAAGATGGTTTGACTGGGTTGGAGGATCTATTTCCAAGATGGTTCACTTGCATGTCTGGCAATTCCATGCTAATGTTGGCTGACGGTTTATTTCTGCCACACTTAGCCCTTCACAAACTGCTTGAGTGTCCTCAGGACTTGGTGACCAGCTAGCTTCCTTTAAAGCCAGTGATTCAAGACAGAGAGAACCAGGAGGAGGCTTATCATTTTTAGGACTAGACTTGGAAGTCACATAGCATCATGTCTGTCACATCATAATCATGAAAAACGAGTGACTAAGTTCATCCACACTTAACGGAAGCAGAATTTGTCTTCATCTTTTAAGAGGAGTGTCAAAGTATTTATGAACCTGTCATGGACAGGTTCATGTAAACCATGTAAACATACCACTACCCCCACCACAGAATGCCGTGTCAAAGTATTTATGAACCTGTCATGGACAGGTTCATGTAAACCATGTAAACATACCACTGTACCCCCACCACAGAATACCACTACCCCCACCACAGAATGCCTGCCTGCCACAGAGAAGGCACTTACACAATTTGAATGTCAATTGTAGCACTTAGACTTCTCAGATATATTTTTGCACCATAAGCATGTGCATAATTTTACCTTCAGAAAAGACTGATAAATCCATTCCCTGGTAAACAGTAGTGAGTGACCACTCTGTGCAATACACGCATGCCATAGAAGAGTCTTCCCTGGGAAATATCCAGCTGCCAAACAAAGGTCAGCTGTTTTCAAGTTTTTCTGTTACTATTTGCTTCTTATTTCTTGATTTGCCACCTGTTTCAGCTCTTTCTAGAAGTAAACAGTTGGTACAGCCCAATGATGTAACAAAAGCTGCAGATGAAACTAGAAATTGGGAGGGTAATTTTGGCCTCCAGGTGAAACTAGTTTGCCTTTGTGAAACCATTCCACCAGCCATGCACATATAATGTGTCACCCCTCATTTTACAGATGGGGAAACTGAGAGGCACTAAATAACCTGCACATAGTTACACAACTGAAAATAGGATGGGACAATTCAAACCTAGTAGTAGGCATCGGAAGAACCCTGGTTCTTTTTTCTTCTTTAAACTATATGATAAAATATACATAACAAGACTTACCATTTTATCCTTTTAAGTATACAGTTCAGTAGTATTAAGCACATTCACGCTGTTGTGCAACCATCACCACCATCCATCTCCAGAACTTCTTCATCTTCCCAAAAGAAACTCTGTACCCATCGAACATTAATTCTCCATGCCACCTCATGTCGGCCCCTGGCAACCACCTGGTTCTTTTTTTAGGATGATGAAAACATTCCACAAGAAGCAGTTGCCCTTAAGCCCAGCAGAACACAAGATACAAATACTATCAAATACCCTTCCCATAAGCCAGTGCCAAATTTCATCTTTGGAGCCAAGTCACTCCTTGGCATCTGCCTCATGCCCCACTCCTCTTGTCTTTTCTTATAAGGGCACTAATCCCTCCATATTAGCGAGAACCTAATTACTTCCACAGGTCCTTATAATATTGGGGATTAGGGTTTCAACGTATAAATTTTGAGGGAACATAAATCTTCATACCATATCAGAGATGTGAGGGAATGACACTAGAAGAGTTGACAAAAAATGTGTAAGAATGAGATGATAGGGAACACCTCCAAAAGTTGTGCAATGCACAGCCTGTATAGCCACATGTACCTTA